TTTTTTTGAGGCCCAGTTTAGCTATGTTGCCCAGGCTGGAGTGCAATGGTTCAACGTTGGCTCACTGCAACCTCCGTCTCCCAAGTTCTAGCAATCCTGCCTCAGCCTCCCAAGTAGCTGGGACTACAGGTGCATGCCGCAATGCCCAGCTAATTTTTTTTGTATTTTAGTAGAGACAGGGTTTCACCATGTTACCCAGGGTGTTCTGGAACTCCTGAGCTCAGGCAATCCACCTGCCTTGGCTTCCCAAGGTGCTAGAATTAGAGGCGTGAACCACCAGCCCCAGCTATAACAAGCATTCTAAGGGTCAGCTTGTATACCAATCTCTTCCCAAATGCCGAGTGCCCCACATAGCCTGTGACATTGGAGAATAGGCTTTCTTCAGCTTGGCACAATTTGCCTTTGGACCAAGCGCTTTGTTCCTGTGCATTCCTTGCTGGATGTTGGCATGCATTCCTAGCGTCGTCCACTAGATGGCAGTGGCACCCACCCTAGAGCTCAAATATTACTAGGTCCGGATGCAGCCAGGGCTCTGCAGGGCTGGATGGCCTTCTGAGGCCCCCTACTGGGCATTTTTCAAGATCTTCCTCTGTTGCCCAGGCTGGGGTGCAGAGGTGCAATTACAGCTCACTGCAGCCTCATCCTTCTGGGCTCAAGCGATCCTCCCACCTCAGCTCCCAGAATAGCTGGGACTACAGGCATGTGTCCTCCTGGGTCATAAATTGTACTAATAAATTTCACCGTGTTACCCAGGCTGAAACGTTGGCTAATTCGTAATAGTGGAGGCGTGCTATGTGGCTTAGGCTGGTCTTGAACTTCTGGACTTTAGCAACCATCTTGCCCCACCCCCTCTTGAAAGTACAGGGGTTACAGGCATGAGCACCACACCTGGCCCCCTGTTGGGGTTTTACCTCTCCTGTTAGGGGCCATCAAACGTTAATTTGATCCCAAGCAGAGGGACTTTTGATCTTAGTCTGCACGAGTTTGTAGGAAGGAGCCTGATCATGAGGCTGTGGGAATGACGAGCACACTCCCATCTTCCTCTGTCCAGATTTCAAGTGGGAGCCAGCAGACAGGACCATTCAGCAGCCAATGTCCAAGTAAGGTTTTGTTACTCGAAGCGCCGCCAGCCTACTGTGGGTCATTTTATTCAGGTCCATCCCAAATAACCTGTGGACACAAGAGTTGATGTTACTGTAGTTCACTACTGCGGCATTCCATTAATAAGCCTAAAGTATCTATTGTGCACCAACGTGATAATTCCATCATCCTGCAGAAATTCCACCCAGCAGAGTTGGAAAGCAGGCTTACTGCATGCCACACACAAGTCCCCATGCTGTTTTAACTCAGCTAATTTTTTTTTTTTTTTTGAGATGGAGTGCCCAGGCTATATAGTGCAGTGGCACAATCTCAGCTCACTACAACCTCTATCTCCCAGGTTCAAGCAATTCTGCTTCAGCCTACCTAGTAGCTGGGATTACAGGCATGTACCACCAAGCCCAGTGAATTTTGTATTTTTAGTAGCGATGGGGTTTTTCCATGTTGGTCAAGCTGGTCTTGAACTCCCAACGTCATGTGATTCACCCACCTCGACCTCCCAAAATGTTGGGATTACAGGCGTGAGCCACTGTGCCGAAGCTGAACTTGGCATAATTTTTTTAGACAGGCTCACTCTGTCGCCCAGGCTGGAGTGCAATGGTGTAATAATGGCTCACTGCAACCTCAACCTCGTGGGCTCAAAGGATCCTCCCATCTCAGACCCCTGAGTAGCTGGGACCACAGGGGTGGGTGGATGGGTGTGTGTGTGTGTGTGTGTGTGCGTGCACGCTTCTCCTAAAGACGGGATTTTTTTCATGTTGCCCAAGCTGGTCTCAAACTTCTGAGCTCAAGCAATTCTCCCACATCAGCCTGTCAAAGTACTGGGAAAACAGTTGCCATGCCCTGTACCTGGCCTAAACTTTGATTGCATAACTGCACTCCAGCCTGGGTGACAGCAAGATCCTGTTAAAAATAAAAGGCCACCCACAGTGGCTCACACCTGTAATCCCAGCACTTTGCGAGACCGAGGTGGGCAGATCACCTGAGGTCAGGAGTTCCCAAAATGGAGACGCCATCTCTACTAAAAATACAAAATTAGGCAGATGTGGTGGCGCATGCCTGTAATCCCAGCTACTTGGGAGGCTGAGGCGGGAGAACTGCTTGACCCAGGAGGCGGAGGTTTCAGTGAGCCAAGATTGCACCATTGTACTCTAGCCTGGGAGACAGAGCAAAACTCCATCTCAAAAAAAAGGGTGATTGGAATTTGAATCCAAGCAGAGTAATTCTAGATGTCACTGGAATTACAGCAATCTCCAGTGCAATAGGTAAGCCACAATGGTCCCCTTCCATAGACAAGGAGGTTATCCAAGGTCACATAGCTAGATGACCTCAGTATCTTCAAGAGGTAATGCTTAGCCTGAGCTGTGTGCCCCCTCATTGCATAGGCCAGTCCATTAAAGTATCCATCAGCTTATCTACCCCTCATGCTCCCAGCCCAATGTCCAGCGTCTTCCAGAGAGAATCAGTCATCATCCCTCACCAGAGAACTCGGAGTTTGCAGCCAGGATGGCTAAGCCGCTTGCAGAGCAGTCGGACACCTGTGTCCCCTAGGGCGTTGTTGGTCAGATATAGCTCCGTCAAGGTCTGGTTGATCCCCAGGGTGAAGTAAAGGTTCTTACAAGCCTTGGCTGTGAGGCCACAGCTATCCAACCTGTTGAAGATAAGGAGCTAGTTAAGGCTACTTTTTTTTTTTTCATCCCCGAGATGCTGTCTTGCTCTGTTGCCCAGGCTGGAGTGCACTGCCTCGGTGATCTTGGCTCACTGCAACCTCCACCTCCTGGGTTCAAGTGATTCTTCTGCCTCAGCCTCCCAAGTAGCTGGGATGACAGTCACCCGCCACCATGCCCGGCTAATTTTCTGGATTTTTAGTAGAGTTAGGGTTTTACCATGCTGGCCAGGCTGGTCTCAAACTTCTGACCTCATGATCCACCTGCCTCAGCCTCCCAAAGTGCTGGGATTACAGGCATGAGCCACCACACATGGCCTCAGGTGCTACTACTTAATGTTACCTGGATGCAGATTCTCAACTCTGTTGCCCAGACTGGAGTGCAGTGGTGAGATCTTGGCTCACAGCAACCTCTACCTCCCAGGTTCAAATGATTCTCCTATTTGTCTCCTGAGTAGCTGGGATTACAGGTGCACACCGCCATACCTGGCTAATTTTTGTATCTTTAGTAGAGATGGGGTTTTACCATGTTGACTAGGCTGGTCTCAAACTCCTGACCTCAAGTGATCCACCCACCTGGGCCTCCCAAAGTGCTGGGATTATAGGCGTGAGTCACCCTGCCTGGCCCCTAACATTTAAAAAAATTAGGTGGTGCATGCCTGTAATCCCAGCTACTCAGGAGGCTGAGGCAGGAGAATTGCTTGAAGCTAAGAGGCAGAGGTTGCAGTGAGCCAAGATCATGCCTCTGCACTCCAGGGTAACAGACTGTATCAAAAAATAAACGAGATGATACCTCATACCATTCTAAATCCTTCAGATTAGGGCTACAGCTGTCATGGTAGAATGGTAAGGAGGAAAGTCACTATTAATATTTGATTGAAATTTACACAATACCGTATTGAATTATTACTTTTTAGATGGAGTGTTGCACTGTCACCCAGGCTGTGGTGCAGTGGTTTGATCTTGGCTCACTGCAATCTCTGCCTCCTGGCTTCAAGCAATTCTCCTGCCTCAGTCTCCTGAGAAGCTGGGATTACAGGTGCATGCCACCATGCAAGGCCAGCTAATTTTTTTTCGTATTTTTAGTAGAGATGGGTTTTCTCCATGTTGGCCAGGCTGGTCTCAAACTCTCGACCTCAGGTAATCCACCTGCCTAGGCCTCCCAAAGTGCTGGGATTACAGGCATAAGCCACCATGCCCGGCTAAATTTTTTTTTAAATGGGGCAGTACCCCCAAATCAAGAATTAATTCAGAGAGACTTCCTGTCTTGTCTTTCCACCTCTCTTCTACCTGAATCTTTGTGGAGAAGGCAGGATACTTGGTAAATAGAAAAATGAAGGATGAGAAAGCACTTCCACTGTTCCCTCCTCACTCCCTGATGCTCACCACAGTTTCCGGAGTCTGCAGGTGGGATGTTGCAGCCCCTCGGCCAGCAGCCACAGGCCCCAGTCTCCCAGGTCGTTGAAGCTCAGGTCCAGCTCCTGGAGGTGGTGGTTGGCCTGGAGCACGGTAGAAAGACCCTCACAGGCGGCAGCACCCAGCCGGCAAATGCCCAACCTGCAAAGACAGGATGCCAGAGCGGACTGGGAAGCATTCTTCCTGCAAACACCTGCTGGGAGGGCCCTGCGTCAACCCTGTGCTGGTTGCAGATAGGGACACACTCAGTCTTTACCTTTGAGAGGACAAAAAGATAAGACCAAAGTAGAAAGATGAAAGGAAGGGAGGAATACAAGAACAGAAGGAGGCCGGGCATGGTGGCTCACACCTGTGATCACAGCACTGTGGGAGGCCGAGGCGGGCAGATCACAAGGTCAGGAGTTCAAAACCAGCCTGATCAACATGGTGAAACCCCGTCTCTACTAGAAACAAAAATTAGTTGTCTGAAAGGGTTGATATCTAGAATTTACAAAGAACTAAAACAGATTTACAAGAAAAAAACAAGCCCATTCAAAAGTGGGCAAAGCATATGAACAGATACTTTGCAAAAGAAGACATACATGAGGCCAAGAAACATGAAAAAATGCTCATCATCACTGGTCATCAGAGAAATGCAAATCAAAACTACATTGAGATATCATCTCACGCCAGTTAGAATGGCGATCATTAAAAAATCTGGAGACAACAGATGCTGGAGAGGATGTGGAGAAATAGGAACACTTTTACACTGTTGGTGGGAGTGTAAATTAGCTCAACCATTGTGGAAGACAGTGTGGCGATTCCTCAAGGACCTAGAAATAGAAATTCCATTTGACCCAGCAGTCCCATTACTGGCTATATATCCAAAGGATTATAAATCATATTACTATAAGGACACGTGCACACAAATGTTCATTGCAGCACTGTTCACAATAGCAAAGACCTGGAACCAACCCAAATGCCCATCGATGATAGACTGGACAGGGAAAATGTAGCACATATACACCATGGAATATTATGCAGCCATCAAAAACGATGAGTTTGTGTCCTTTGTAGGGACATGGATGAACCTGGAAACCATCATTCTCAGCAAACTGACAGAAGAGCAGAAGATCAAATACCACATGTTCTCACTCATAGGCGGGTGTTGAACAGTGAGAACACATGAACACAGGGAGGGGAGCACTACACACTGGGGTCAGTTGGGAGGATATAGGGGAGGGATGGTGGGGGGTGGGGAGTTGGGGAGAGATAGCATGGGGAGAAATGCCAGATGTAGGTGATGGGGAGGAAGGCAGCAAATCACACTGCCATATGTGTACCTATGCAACAATCTTGCATGTTCTTCACATGTACCCCAAAACCTAAAATGCAATAAAATAAATTAAAAAAAAAATTAGTTGTCTGGTGGCGTGTGCCTTAAGTCCCATCTGCTCAGGAGGATGAGGCAGGAGAAATGCTTGAACCTGGGAGGCAGAGGTTGCAGTGAGCTGAGACCCTATCAGTGCACTTCAGCCTGGGCAACAGAGCAAGACTCCTCACAAAAAAAAAAAAAAAAAAAAGGGCCGGGCGCGGTGGCTCAAGCCTTTAATCCTAGCACTCTGGGAGGCTGAGGTGGGTGGATCACGAGGTCAAGAGATCGAGACCATCCTGGTCAACGTGGTGAAACCCCGTCTCTACTGAAAATACAAAACATTAGCTGGGCATGGTGGCGCGTGCCTGTAATCCCAGCTACTCAGGAGGCTGAGGCAGGAGAATTGCCTGAACCCAGGAGGCGAAGGTTGCGGTGAGCCGAGATCGCGCCATTGCAATCCAGCCTGGGCAACAAGAGCGAAACTCCGTCCCCAAAAAAAAAAAGCAAATAAGGCCAGGCACCATGCTTATGCCTGTCATTCAGCATCTTGGGAGGCTGAGGCAGGAGGATTACTTGAGGCCAGGAATTTGTGACCAGTTTGGGCAACCAACAACTTGTTTCTACAAAAAATTTTTTTGAGACAGAGTTTGACTTTTGTTGCCTGGGCTGCAGTGCAATGGTACGATCTTGGCTCACTGCAGCCTCCGCCTCCCGAGGTCAAGAGATTCTCCTGCCTCCGCCTCCCAAGTAGATGAGACTACTGACATGTGCCACCATTAATTACATATTTTTAGTAGAAGTGCAGTTTTGCCATATTGATCAGGCTGGTTTCCAACTCCTGACCTCAGGTGATCCACCCACTTCAGCCTCCTGTCTTCAAAAAAAATTTTTTTTTTTTTTTTGAGACGGAGTTTCGCTCTTGTTACCCAGGCTGGAGTGCAATGGCACGATCTCGGCTCACCGCAACCTCCGCCTCCTGGGTGAAGGCAATTCTCCTGCCTCAGCCTCCTGAGTAGCTGGGATTACAGGCACGCACCACCATGCCCAGCTAATTTTTTGTATTTTTAGTAGAGACGGGGTTCGCATGTTAGCCAGGCTGACTCCTGAGCTCAAGTGATCCACCCACCTCGGCCTCCCAAAGTGCTGGGATTACAGGTGTGAGCCACCGCGCCCGGCCAAAAATATTTTAAGAAATTAGCTGGTGCTGGCCAGGGACGATGGCCCATTCCTGTAATCCCAGCACTTTGGGATGCTGAGGCCTGGCCAACATGGTGAAACCTTGTCTCTACTAGAAATCCCAAAAATTAGCTGGGTGTGGTGACACACATCTGTAGTCCCAGCTGCTCAAGAGGCTGAGGTGGTTCAGTCACTTGAACCCAGGAGGTGGAGGTTGCAGTGAGTCCGTATTTTGCCACTGCAGTCCAGCCTGGCCAATAGAATGAAACTCTTCCTCCAAAAAACAAACAAAACAAAACAAAAAAAAAACGACATTAGTTGGGGCCAGGCAGGGTGGCTCATGCCTGTGATCCCAGCACTTCGGGAAGCCAAGGGAGGTAGATGACAGGGCAGGAGTTAGAGACCAGCCTGGCCAAACCCTGGCTCTACCAAAAATAGAAAAATTAGCCAAGCGTGGTGGTGTGTGTCTGTAATCCCACTAAAGAGGCTGAGGCTGGAGAAGTGCTTGAACCTGGGAGGCGGAGGTCGCAGTAAGCCAAGATTGTGCCACCGCACTTCAGCCAGCATGACGGAGTGAGACTCCAAAAAGCAGACAGTTTGCTGGACACGGTGGTGCGTACCTGCATTCCCAACTACTACTGTGGAGGCTGACGTTGGAGGATCCCGTGACCCCAGGAGTTGGAGGCTGTGGTTCACTGTGACCCCGCCTGTGAATAGCCACTGGACTGCAGCCTAGGCTACACAGCAACAGCCCATCTCAAAAAAAAAAAAAAAAAATTTGTGCGTAATTTTGTTTTTTGCTGGTGCCTTGATAAAAAAAAAATACACAAAATATATTTTTGAGCACCTCTACCCACATCTTGTACTAGTCACTAGGAGATAGAGTTGGAATAGCTCCTATGCTTGTAGAATGCTACCACACACACATATACACAGATTACAAATTTATTTTTTGAGATGGAGTCTCGCTCTTGTCACCCAGGCTGGAGTGCAGTGGCACAATCTCAGCTCACTGCAACCTCCGCCTCCTGGGTTCAAGTGATTCTTCTGCCTCAGCCTCCTGAGTACCTGGAATACAGGTGCCTGTCACCATGCCCGGATAGTTTTTCTGTTTTCTTTTTTTTTTTGAGACAGAGTCTTATTCTATCACCAGGTCCAGAGTGCAGTGGCGCGACCTCGGCTCACTGCAACCTCCACCTCCCGGGTTCAGGCAATTCTCCTGCCTCAGCATCCCAAGTAGCTGGGACTACAGGCACACGCCACCATGCCCAGCTAATGTTTTGTATTTTTAGTAGAGACGGGGTTTTACCATGTTGACCAGGATGGTCTCGATCTCTTGACCTCGTGATCCACCCGCCTCGGCCTCCCAAAGTGCTGGGATTACAGGCTTGAGCCACCGCGCCCGGCCAGTTTTTCTATTTTTAATAGACACGGGGTTTCACCATGTTGGCCAGGCTAGTCTCAAACTCTGACTTTAGGTCATCCACCCACCTTGGCCTTCCAAAGGGCTGTGATTACAAGGGTGAGTCCCCGAGCCCAGCCTTCAAATTTCAATAAATGGTGCTAAGGGAAAGTATGAGGTCACATAGGATCACAAATCTGGGAACCCAGATCATAGCCGGGGATTAGAGGGGGTGTCCAGCTGGGTGTAGTGGCTCACACCTGGAATCCCAGCACTCTGCGGGGGCCAAGGCCCGAGGATCTCCTAAGGCCAGGAGTTTGAGACCAGCCTAGGCAACAAATCAAGACCTTATTCTTACAAAACAATAAGTAAAAATTACACAGGTGTTGCGCCATTGCACTCCAGCCTGGGCAACAGGAGCAAAACTCTGTCTCAAAAAAAAACTAGCCAGGTATGGTGGTGAGTGCCCGTGCCTTCAGGCACTCAGGAGGCTGAGATGGGAGATGGGAGGACGGCTTCAGCCAGAAGGTTGAGGGTGCAGTGAACCATGATCACTTCACTGCACTCCAGCCTGGGCAGCCAGCAAGACCCTGTCTCAAGATAACAAAGTGTCTAAAGAGTGTTCTGAAGAAAAGCTGAACTCTGGGCAAAGAGGGGACATAGCAGGACTGCATTCTAGGGAACAAGAATTGCTTGTGCAAAGGGCTGTGTGTCAGAAAAAGCCTTTAACGAAGGCTGATGTGGCTAGACACAGTGGCTGACACCTGTAATCCCAGAGCTTTGAGAAGCTGAGGTGGGCACATCATGAGGTCAGGCGTTCGAGGCGAGGCTAACCAATATCTCTAACTGTTTTTCTAATTTTGTATTTTGTAAAAATAGAAAAATTAGCCAGGCGTGGTGTTACAAGTTTATAATCCCGGCTACTCAGGACGCTGAGGCAGGAGAATCGCCTGAACTGGGGAGGTGGAGGTTGCAGTGAGCTGAGATGGTGCCACTGCACTCCAGCCTGGGCAACAGGAGCAAAACTCTGTCTCAAAATAAAAACGAAAACGCTGATGTAGGGCCAGGTGTGCTGGCTCATGCCTGTCACAGCGCTTTGGGAGGCCAAGATGGGCTGATCGCCTGAGCTCAGAAGTTTGTGACTAGCCTGGGCAACACGGTGAACCCTCATCTCTACTAAAACACAAAAAATGAGCCAGGAATGGCAGTGCGCGCCTGTAGTCCCAGCTACACGGGAGGCTGAGGCGGGAGACTTGCTTGCACCCAGGAGGCGAAGGTTGCAGCGCGCTGAGATTGTACCACCGCACTCCAGCCTGGGCAACAGAGCAAGACTCCATCTCTGCGGGGAGAAAACGGTTGCTGGAGTAGCTAGAGTTGAGAAGCAGAGGCAGCATGGCCTCTGCGGTCCCAGGTGAGGGTCTGGGTTTGTGGATGGGGACTCACCGGAGGGTCTGGAGCTTGCAGGTGGGATGCCTGAGGCCCTCACACAGCAGCAGTGCCCCGGGGTCCCCCAGGTCATTGAGGCTGAGGTCCAGCTCCGTCAGGCTCTGGTTCACGCCGAGGGTTGAGGCCAGCCCTTCACAGGCAGCAGCAGTGAGGTGGCAGATCTTCAGCCTGCACAAAACAAAATCCAATTTAACAGCGTCATGGAGACTTACTAAATTTTGAGGCAGGGTCTCACTCTGTCCCCCAGGCTGGAGTGGAGTGGTGCAATCTCGGCTCACTGCAACCTCCACCTCCTGGGTTCAAGTGATGCTTCTGCCTCAGCCTCCCAAGTAGCTGGGACTACAAACGCCTGCCACCACTCACTCCCCGCTAATTTTTGTATTTTTAGTAGAGACCATGTTTCACCATGATGGTGAGGCTAGTCGTAGTCTCAAGCTCCGACCTCTCAAAGGACTGGGATTACAGGTGTGAGCCACTGGGCCCAACCCCAAAATCTTAACAGAAATCATTTTCAGACGATCCATTTTAAAAAGGGGCAAAAGATTTGAATATGCATTTCTTCAAGGAGGGTGTACAAATGGCCAACAGCGCCTGAAAAGATGGTAGGTCTCACTAATCATTGGGGAAATACAAATCAACACCACAGTGAGATAGCAACCCATACCCATTAGGATGCCTACTTTTTTTTTTTCTTTTTTTGAGACAGAGACTTGCTCCGTCAGGTGCCAGGCTGGAGTGCAGTGGCGCGATCTCAGCTCACTGCAACCTGCGCCTCCCGGGTTCAAGCAGTTCTCCCACCTCAGCCTCCTGGGTAGCTGGGATTACAGGTGCACACCACCATGCCCAGCTAATTTTTTTGTATTCTTAGTAGAGATAGGGTGTCACCATGTTGGCCAGGATGGTCTCGATCTCTTGACCTTCTGATCCACCCACCTAGGCCTCCCAAAGTGCTGGGATTACAGGCTTGAGCCACCGCGCCCAGCCATTTGTTTTTGTTTTTTGAGATGGAGTCTCACTCTGTCACCCAGGCTAGAGTGCAGTGGCAGTATCTTGGCTCACTGCAACCTCCTCCTCCTGGGTTCAAGCAGTTCTGCTTCAGCCTCCCAAGTAACTGGAACTACAGGTATGCACCACCATGCCCAGCTAATTTTTGGATTTTTTTTTTAGAAACGGGGTTTCACCATGTTGTCCAGGCTGGTCTCAAACTCCTGACCTCAGGTGATCTGCCTGCCTTGGCCTCCCAAAATGATGAGATTACAGGTGTAAGCTACTGTACCTGGCCAGGATGCCTACTATTAAATATAATGCCTATAATCCCAGCACTTTGGGAAGCCTAGGTGGGCAGATCGCCTGAGATCAGGAGTTCGATACCAACCTGGCCAACATGGTGAAACCCCGTCTCTACTAAATCTTTTTTTTTTTTTTTTTTTTTTTTTTTGAGACGGAGTTTCGCTCTTGTTACCCAGGCTGGAGTGCAATGGCGCAATCTCGGCTCACCGCAACCTCCGCCTCCTGGGTTCAGGCAATTCTCCTGCCTCAGCCTCCTGAGTAGCTGGGATTACAGGCACGCGCCACCATGCCCAGCTAATTTTTGTATTTTTAGTAGAGACGGGGTTTCACCATGTTGACCAGGATGGTCTCGATCTCTTGACCTTGTGATCCACCCGCCTCGGCCTCCCACAGTGCTGGGATTACAGGCTTGAGCCACCACGCCCGGCCTACTAAATCTAAAAATACAAAAAAAAAACTAGCCGGGCAAGTTGGCGGGTGCCTTTAATCCCAGCTACTTGGGAGGCTGAGGCAGGAGAATCACTTCAAGAGTCACTTGTGAGGTGAAGGTTGCAGTGATCAGAGATCGTGCCACTGCACTTCAACTGGATGACAGATTGAGACTTCATCTCAAAGAAAAAAAATGAGGGAAAGAAAATAGGCCAGGCACGGTGGCTCACACCTGTAAGCCCAGCACTTGGGGAGACTGAGGTGGGCGGATCACCTGAGGTCAGGAGTTGGATACCAGCCTGGCCAACATGGTGAAAACCCACTCTACTGAAAATATAAAAATTTGCCTGGTGTGGTGGTGAGCACCTGTAATCCCAGCTACTCAGGAGGCCGAGGCAGGAGAATCGCTTGAACCTGGGAGATGGAGGTTTCAGTGAGCTGAGATTGTGCTACTGCACTCCAGCCTCAGTGGCAGAGCAAGACTTGGTCTAAAAAACAAAACAAAACAAAAAACACTGACTTGGGTGCCATGCCAGCAGCTCACACCTGTAATCCCAGCACTTTGGGAGTTTGAGACCAGCCTGGTCAACATGGTATAACGCTATCTCTACAAAAAAAAAAAAAAAGAAAGAAAAATTAGCTTTGCAATGGTAGCACATGCCTGTAGTTGAAGCTGCTTAAGAGGCTGAGGGGCAGGATGATTGCTTGAGCCCTACTGTTCTTTGTTTTTTGAGATGGAGTCTCACTGTTGCCATGGCTGGACTACAGTGGAGTGATCTTGGCTCACTGCAACTTCCGTCTCCTGGGTTTAAGCGATCCTCCTGCCTTAGCCTCCGGAGTAGCTATGAGTACAGGTATGGGCCACCCTACCCAGCTAATTTTCGTCTTTTTTCTTTTTAAAGTATCTCTTGGTCTCTTAGGCTGGAGGGCAGTGGCACAATCTTGGCTCCCTGCAGCCTCCTGGGTTCAAGCAATTCTCCTGCCTCAACCTCCCTAGTAACTGGGACTACAGGCGCCACCACGCCCAGGTAATTTTTGTATTTTTAGTAGAGACTGGGTTTCACCATGTTGGCCAGGCTGGTCTTGAATTCCTGACCTCAGGTGATTTCGCCCACCTCGGTCTCCCTAAGAGCTGGGATTATAGGCATGAGCCACCATGCCCTACCTGTGGATGCATTTTTATACCGTCATTCAGTATGAAGGGATTTGCCATTTTATTATAGTTGAGCTCAAGAAGAACTCACCACAAAGTCCGTAGTCTGCAGGCTGGGTGCCTCAGTCCCTGACACAGAAACCTCAGGCCCAAGTCCTCCAGGGCATTTCCTGTCAGGTCCAGCTCAACCAGATGTGGGTTTGTGCTGAGCACAGAGGCCATCTCCTGACACGCCCCGGACTCCAGCTGACACTTCCTCAACCTTGGGAGGAAAGAGAGGTTGAAGAGGGAGCCGTCTTGCTTTTCTGTGTCCTGATCACTCATGCCCTGGCCTGTTTATTTTATTTTATTTTATTTTATTTTTTTTTTCTTTTTTTTTTTTTTTTTTTTTT